TAGTGTTACTGTTAGTGTTAGTGTTACTGTTAGTTGCTCATAGTCATAGTCATAGCTCATGGGGTCTATGTCCCCCAGGGTACTGCCGGAACGTACCCTGGGTACGGTCCGGTATACCGGAACGTACCCTGGTCACTATTTGATATGGTTAGGGTTCGGGTTAGGGTTAGGGAGTAGGCATAAGGGTTAGGGTTCGGGTTAGGGTTAGGGTTAGGGTTTTTGCATCATTCTTTGATATACGGAGTCTGTGCATCAGTTGATGATACACAGAAATCTGTGCATCACTTCGTGATACCTAAGCCTAAGGTGCCTAAAGTGGATTTGCACCCCTTCACCTATGAGATGACAGACACTGATTAGTGATTACCGGTATGTCATGACATTGACAGGTAAGTTACCAATAAATGAGCAATCCTTGATGCATGCCTCTATAACTGGCAAGATTCCTTCAAAGGATGACTTCAGAACTTCAACCATATCATTAACATTGTTTTACGCAAAAACTTGTTATGTTATGATATGAATGAATGATTTATAGCTTGTACGTTTACTTTTCTGTCACGCTGGAAGCATGGAAGTCCCGAAGTCACAAGCTAACTATTCACAAATTGCAATATCTTTATAATAACAAACATTAAAAATATATATATGTAAACATTCTTATTATATAATAATTTTATCATGTATTATTTTGTTTTTTTATTATATTATTTAGTATTATTATTTTTAAATAGGATTTTATACCTTTAACGAATAAAGATTCCAATCAAAACATGGGAGCAAATGGCGGCTATCTTGAACATAAACAATGCCGTTCACCCTGTTGCATCATAGGGTTGCATGTAGGCCCTACTGAAGTAGTTTTTGTGCGTGTTGATTTTATTCCGATGCTTAGCAATGTTATAAATTGTAAATTATGAGGCTTGTTGTGCTTCTTGAGTTCGGGATACTTTCTTATCTTGTGAATGTGAGCTCGCAACAAAGCATAGGTACCCATTATGTACAGTAACACACTGTCACGTGACACTGACACTGTCGCACGAAGGGTCGTCGACGTTGTCAGGTACTACATAACATTATACATATTATACAGATAACACACGGGCCGGCGTGCATTAGTGTAAATGCAGCGCGGCGCGAGGTATATCTTTAGACTGGTGCGCACTGCGCACGAGCCGCTTGCGGCGAGTGCGCCGTGCGCACCAGTCTAAAGATACCGAGCGCCGCGCTGCATTTACATTGATCGCACAACAGGCCAAGTGCGTTATCTGTTTTATAAAATTGCGACACACAATGAATTGAAAATAAATAGTAAGTCTAGATCACGAAAATTTATTTCAATTCCGAACGTCAAAACAAACACATTTACAGTTTAGTAAATTGCTTCACACACAATTAACAGTATGTCTAGATAAACAGTTTAAGATAATAGTCTAGATAAATAGTCTAGATAAATAGTCTAGATATCGTGTTGGTGTGCGCGTCGCGCTCCTCTGCCGCGGTCCTGGGTGTTGTTGCCGTTAGCGTGTTTGTGTCCTGACTGAAGCAGAGTCTTTTGAGAATGTGAGAATGAACCGCCACAGGGGGAAACAATTGCTTTACTTGGCCTAAATTCAAACTACAGCTACGTGCACGTGCAATCTATATCGCTATCTCATTACAGGCTGTAGTGGTGTTCTGGCGCAATTCATTTTCTCGACAAATGTCAAGACAAAGTGGCATACATTAACCAGACTGTTGTTTCCATCTTTAGATTTGAATTACGCATTACGTCATTGATTTTTATGATTAGCGACTCTGATGGGTCTAGACCCATGTCAGAAAAGTTGATTTCTGATTATCAGCGAAGTTTCATATGGAACAGTCACAAACTGACCATTGAGACATGATTGAGACAGTTTTATGAATTCTTAATGACATTGAGTTCTGCTACTTATAAAGATACTGCAGAGGGGAATTTGGAAAGCTTTAGTTAATATTTTGGAACAAAATTATTTAAACTCAGTCAGTGCGTTTTGTCTTTTCTTGTTGTTGTCGTAATCTTATGCTAATGTTATTGCGCGATAATATGTTGTGCCAAAAACACATTACCATAGTTAGGATTACAATAAATTAAATTATTAATAATGTAGGCCAACCGGGCCACCTGATAAATTCCATTTGGTCACTCTGGATATTCTCATTACTACAAAGTGGCCGGCGCGCACCTGAAAAAAAAAGGTTCAAGGCATAACCCACTGCTGTTGTTATATTACAATCTATGGTACACATGATTCGTAGTATCATCGAAACTGAGTGCAACCAGACTCCTGTATATCCAAAGAATTGAATGCAAAAAACCTTAACCCTAACCCTAACCTAACAGTACCTGGTAACACAACTCCGCTTCGCTGACTACGTAATCACGAAGGTGTGTTTACTGTTAGGGTTAGGCAAGGCTCGGCGACACTAGCCTGCCTATCGCCCCGCCGGCTCCGGGCGCGGCCTCCCCGGTGGGCCGCGAGGCCCACCAAAAAACCTGATTGTCGCGGCACCAAAACAGATTTCCAAAAGTTAAAATTTTGGGGCACCTCCGATCGCACTAAATCATTAAATGTCTATGTGCATAAAAAATTAATTGTTTCTTACGGTAGTATATCTCATTCAACAAGAGAGCCCGAGCAGATCGCGGAGCGCCCGAGGCAACGTACGCACGTGCAGCATTCCTACCGCGAGCATACAAACGAGCTGCAAGACAATATTTGCAGCGCCAGCATACTATGTGATTACTATTGTATCAAGCGAAAACCTAGACAATGCGTCTAAGACAATTACGGCCTGTCTCCAGTGTACTGCTCGAGCATGTAAATATGAACTGCGGAGCTATGAAGAGTTTCCGGAAAGCAAACAATTGTATAAATAAAAAAGATGATGAAATTCTCATTTTTGTATTGATTTTTGTTCAATATTGTTAAAAAAATACGGACACACATGCGTCGGGAAGGGTCGGTAACGGGGACGCAGACCATGGGCCAATAATACGGGGAGCTTCTGTACACCTGCGTTGCTAGCGTAGCGCATCTGGATGGGTCACTGTTCCGGATCCGAAGCGGAACGAACGATACGCAAGGCGAAGCGAAAAACTATTCCATGAAGGATCATCAGTATTTTATAATCGAAGGTGTAATAGATTAGTTGATAGTTAAGTTTATTTTTATGCACTTTTTCCTGGTCTCTTTTACGCAACGAAAATATTGGAACGTTAGTCTTAGGACATATGGCTGCTTTTCTTTTTAAATGCAATGCGTACCCAGGCTAACTGTTTGATATAATTAATGGTTCTTAACTTTACTTATTAAAATCTGCAAATAATTTTATTTTTTAACTCAGTTTTCAAAAAGCTGCCAGACTATTTGAATTTATAGGATTTAAAAATGTTAATATGTCTTTATTTTACAGTTGAAAAAGCCAATTGTCCTGTTGTGTATTACACAGTTACTTGTTTTATTAATTTGCAGCTCTCTGTGACTTGATCCTCTTAAACGGTCTCCACATGCATCAGCATAAGCATGTGCACGGGCGTGTTTAGATAAAATAATGAGTGAAAAGTAGAAAAATGTAAATTGTCAAAGATTCTGGGTGAAAATTTGATGCCGGTGGAATGGATAATTTAAATGTATGCCTCAACATCATGTCCAGTGTTGCGCCATTCGTGTGGGTTTTGTTTTAAAGACTTGTTGCAATGCATCAGACGGCAATTTTCAAATTTAATATTACAATACGATATTGAAAATAAAAGATTTATAAGGTTGTTCTTTGTTCTTTTTTTTCGGGCCACCCAGAATTTTCATTTTTGGGCAACCAAAAAAAATTGAATAAAACATCAATATTTTGACGTGGCCGAAATCGGGCCACTAGAAAAATAAAAAACAGTTAGTTGTCGCGCGCCTTTGGGTCTAGTTTACGGTTATGGATTTAACAAATAACACCCACGTGCCGCGCTACTGTATCAGTTACGTTATCGATTGAAATGCAGGGGCGGATCCAGAGGGTTTGGGTGACCAGTTTCCATAGTTCTAGTCACAGCTAGGGCGGTCCGGGTTAACGGTGAAATGCTGAAACCATGTTGCAGTATTAGTCGAATTAATAAACTTTCCCCGTTTTATTTTGACAATTCTTTGCAGTATTATTGATCAGCTGTCCTACCTTGCTAATATAAAACAATCCGCTTGTCCCTACGATGCCCCTACGCTGAGATAATTAGCGGTGAAAATCTGGTATTTTCACCGAAAAAAGACTCCAGATCAGTCAGTACTGCGACTGTCTCTTGTTCTGGCGATAGCTTCGGGAAACCTCGCGTGTTTCCGTCATTCATTGACAATGAAATTTATTTTCCTTCTACTATCTTTTCTCGCATTTCCAGTCATTGACGCAGCCGTTACTCCACAAAAACGTCTTTTTATTTATCGCCATGGTGATGACCCGCCCCTTACGCTGGATGTAGTAACGCTGCAGTAATAACGTATCAAGTCAGCGCTACACAGCGGCGACCGGAAGCAACATACAGTGCACAAAACAAGAGACTGTCGCAGTACTGACTGATCTGGAGTCGGTTTTCGGCAAAAATACCAGATTTTCACCGCTCATTATCTCAGCGTAGAGGCATCGTAGGGACATGTGATTTGCTTTATATTAACAAGGTAAGACAGCTGATCAATAATACTGCAAAGAATCATCAAAATAAAACGGGAAAAGTTTATTAATTCGACTAATACTGCAACATGGTTTCAGCATTTCACCGTTGTACACTCTCCTTCTTTATACGCTCTTCATATATTCTATATTTTGCTGTCATACAATCTGTCAGTGCACAGGCCCTTGGAGGCTCAAGTTTCAAGAAGAGTATAAGACTATATTAAGAGCAAAGCTTCGCTCTTAATATAGTCTTACTCTTCTTGAAATTTGAGCCTCCAAGGGCCTGTGGTCAGTGTCAGATTTTAATGAGATTATATTAATTATTATGCTGCCATCAGCATCGTGTTGTTACAGATCATGTTTAATTTATCATATATGCTAGACCTAGCTCTAGTAACTATAGCCCACGTACAGTTGCCACTGGCGGCAACTGTAGCCAGCGGCCAGCAGTCAACAGTAGCCAGCGGCAACTGTACTCAGACTATAGTTACTAGAGCTATGCTAGACTCACGTCTGTAGTGATAGGTTTATGCTTAGGCTGGAATGTTGTGCAATGATTAGGGTGATGATGAAGAACATACAGAATAGAGATGTCTATTCTATTCTAGCTCTAGTACTATAGCCCGCGTACAGTTGCCGCAGGCCTGCGTACTACTACTACTACTACGTAGTACTACTAGAGTAGTGTCTAGAGATATGAGATGGGCGCCAATCCACTTTAGGCACCTTAGGTATCACGAAGTGATGCACAGATTTCTGTGTATCATCAACTGATGCACAGATTTCTGTGTATCATCAACTGATGCACAGACTTTCTGTATATCAAGGATTGATGCAAAAACCCTAACCCTAACCCTAAGTCATAAACTATAACCTTAGCCTTAGGTATCACCATATATATATCATATACAACACATATGTGTTGTATGTGTTGCAGGGCTCGACTTTAACGGTGGCCCGGGTGCCAATGGCCACCTGAAACGGCGTCGGGCCACCTGAAACTGTCGGGTTGGTGGCCCGCCTGGCCACCAATAAAAATAAGGCCGTGGCTATGCGACAGCCGGACGAGGAGCCGCTAGGCTACGCGTCCGGACATCCATCTCACACAGAGATCTTGCGACACGTACACGCATGATTGCGCAAGGGGACGCTCTGCTGATTGCCGTGTGTGTGTGTGTGTGTGACGTGTGTGTGTGTGTGCTTCTGCGCGCACGCGCGTGTGTGTGTGTGTGTGCCCGTGTGCGTGTGTGTGTGCGCGTGCGTGTGCGTGTGTGATGTGTACGTGTGGTTTACTGGAAGCAGATTCCTGAGAGAT